CTCTGAGTCCTGCCATTCAGCCAGTTCTCCATCCACCTCACCATCCACTCACCCAGCCCACACTTCCTGAGCTTGCCTATGGGGATGTTATGGGAGACGGTGTCAGAAGCCTTGCTGAAGTCCAGGTAGACAACATCCACTGCTCTGCCCCCATCTACGCAGGCAGTCATTCCATCATAGAAGGCTATCAGATTGGTCAAGCATGATTTCCCTTTGGTGAATCCATGCTGACTGCTTCTGATCACCTTCTTGTCCTCCACATGCTTAGTGATGACCTCCAGGAGGAGCTGTTCCATCACCTTTCCAGGGACTGAGGTGAAGCTGCCCGGCCTGTAGTTTCCTGGCTCCTCCTTCTTGCCCTTTTTGCATACTGGGGTGATATTTACTTTCTTCCAGTCCTCAGGCACCTCTTCTGATTGCCATGACCTTTCAAAGATGATTGAGAGCAGCTTAGCAATATCTCTGCCAGCTCCCTCAGCACTCCTGGGTGCTTTGCCTCAGGGCCCACGGACTTTTGGGTGTCAAGTTTGCCTAAATGATCTCTAACCCAATCCTCCTCAATTAAGGGAAAGCCTTCCTTTCTCCAGATTCTAAAAAAAAAGTGTGTAGCAGCAAGGTTTTATTAAGAAATGAAGATATCAGAGTGGTGGGTCTGGAAAAGAGTTGCACAAAACCCAATAAGGGCTGATTAGTGTGATGACAAAATGAAGATATTCCGTCATACAGCAGATTCTTAATTCTGCACCTCTGCGTCCAAATGTCATAGTAGAGTTCTTCAATGTATCTTTTATGGTCTTGAACCTATTTTGACACTCTTGCAAGTATAGACTCTTTTGATGCACTTCTTTCACTGCATCTTTCAGCCTTGAAGACTTTCTTCCCTAGCTAATGTTTTAGCTGCAAATGGGCATGCTTATCATAATAATGGGAAATAATGGTTTCTTTTGAATTTCTTTCAGTGGTGCTCATCACAGAATTTATTGCGTCCAACCACGAAGTAAACAGGATTTTCTTACCCCCCCTTTCACAGATAGGAAACAGAGACTAAAGCCAAAAATTTTTGCAAGTGACTACCTTGAATTAACTCAGTCTGAGTACCAATAGCTGTAAATTAATTTCTGAAGATTTCAGTTTGTTCATTGTGAAATGAATAGTTATTCTGCAAGAGTAGAACTCAGTAAAGAAATTTTTTTAAGGTTGACACAGGTTGTGACTTTTGCCTCCTGTCAAACTATCTGTTTGAACCAGCAATATAGAAGCAAAGATCTGTCTACATCCTTATGGGTCCCTTTGTGCCAGGCAAGCTGTTTAACAACAATCTTAACACAATCAAGTGTGTGGCAAGCAGTTGAATGTTCTTTTTTGTTCTCTGTGCCTAATCAGTTAAGCTGCCTCTTAAAAGTACTGGACTGACAGAAGCACTGATTTAGGAAGTGAATCAGTAGATTTAATGCACTACACTGATCTTAGTTTACAAAGCTAATTTGCAATATCCTTTGGGTTATTTGAGACAAGCAGGAAAAGTGTTGCTGGTCTAATCTGATTACATTTCATTGTAGTCTCCAATGATTGACTATTTAGTACATTTGATCTAGGAGACAAAGCTTTTCACTTGTAAGACTGCCAGTTTGTATGGATTTCAATTTAGTAGAAGCTGAAAGTAGTTGACCATCATTATGTGATACCTCTGTGAAATAATGTGGGCTCAGTCCAGGTGGCTAAAAAGAAAAAAGTAGAAAGGCACTCTCCGTTAGAATGAAAGCGGTTGACTTAATCTGGGAGCTGTACTAGCTTCTCTTACTGTATACAATAGTTTGAGCAATGTGAAAGAACTTTGTAACTTTTCTGCCTGTGCTGTATCTAATCAGAGGAGGGAAAGAAAACAGCCCTTTTTGGGACGATCAGCTTGACCTTATTCTCAGCACTAAGATTACTTAAAAATGTAGCCACATAGGTTTTGGTCTACACCTAATGTAATCATTCATGCTGGAATTACACTATTTTAAGAATTTATATCATGGTGACTAAGTGGAAAGGTTAGATTTTGTTTAGTTGTATGTGGGGTAGATACATGTGAAAATAAATATGAAGTAGACAAAAGCATTGAAGAACTGGAATTTTCAGGTCCGCTTTAGCCAGTGATTTTCCTTCTTAAGTTTATCTGATGCAACAGGAGTCCTCTTTTCTTTCAAAAATTTGGCAGCATCATTTTAGGAAATTTAATTGTCTGATCATTCTGCATTCTGATGACTGGACAGTTGTCTGTCCCATCTGAACTACAAAATTTTGCAGCAAGTTATCAAACACAGTCTTTACAGATGTCAAAAAATGTAAATGATCTCTGTGAATATACCGTGAGTAAAAAAAAAAGTGCAATATCTCTGTGGATTCAATAGAATCTTTAATTCTTTTTTAGTTGACAAAAACTTACTCTGTAAATAGATCTCATCTGTTCTGTAGTTTGCAGCAATTCCATTTCCAAAGCATACCCCTTGGCTGTATAGTTCTGTCAGTATGTCGTGGTGCCTTTTCCAGGCACCTTTACGCATTTCTGTTTGAAACTGACAAAATATTGCATCTTGTGTTAGTTTCTTTCGATTGTATAGTTTTGAAATATTTCCTGTTTTGAACAAACCTTGTCTTAGAAAGATCTTTGAAAAGCCTCTATGAGGTCTCAGGAACAGATTAATGTGGCCTTTTGTTAATTATCCCCACTATGCATCTCTCTTTTGGTAGACTCCTTTAGGTAGTGTCTTTGGTTACTACAAGTTTTGTTGTATATGTTTTAAATATTGCTTATTGTTCAGACTTTGAGAGCTGAGCAGTTTTTGGAAGATAAAAGTTTAGATCCTCGCAAGCTACATGATGCCTTTGTGTTTCATAAAAACAGGATGCTTTCCTTCTGTTGAAGCACAAGGTTACTTTCTGTGTAGTTTCCTTGAAGTTTCCATTTGAATTAGGCGTTAAATTCTGAATTTGCAATCGGAGTGGGTAGTTGCTGATGCATGGGATGATGTGTACTTTCCCTAAACACTGTCCTTTCCCCTCCTGTGTCAGTTTCGATCCCTTCCAGTTGAAATGAAGGACCAACTAATCGTAAGATGTATGAAGTAGCAAAGACAATTCTTCAGAAATACTTGTGCTAACTCCACTGTATGGAAAATTCAGCTGCTCTTACCTTATGAAAGTCTGCTGTGTTTGTGCATGTGTTTTCAGGCATCTTCTGCAAAATGTTGCCTAATTTCTTTTGATATCTGACTAACCTCATTGCAGTTTCTTCTCGTTATAGAAGTGACAGAAAAGTTTTACATAGCATAAACTGTGCCAAGCCTGTTCTATTTTAGCTGCTGAATTTTTCTGCAACTATTATTCAAGTCCCTCAGTCCTTCAATTTGTCGTTTGTTTGGATGATTGATAGTAGGCAAATTAGACTGCAGGCTCAGGGGAGGGTTAAGCATCTTCTGGCGTGTTTTCACAGCATTTTCTGAGATGAGGCCCTAATCGCCCCCTGATCAGGGGTTTTAAACCCACTGCAGTACGTATCATTAATAATATGCAATATTGTCCACTTCAGTAAGACTTAGAATGTCCCTAGTTCCAGCAGTGGCACAGCCACCCTCATCTGTCTCCTGCTGGCAGAGTCCTGTTGAGTCTCATGTGAAGTTACATTCTTCAGGTCGGTTCAAAGAGATTTGAGGTCTGTGCCTGGTGGGAAAAGAGACTTCCAAATCTCTGCTAGTTGGACTGTGAAGACAGGACTAGCTCAGGTATAGCTGTTGTGCAAGAAAATATAAGTCATTTTGCACCATATGGGAGAACCACCTACTCAAAAAACCACGGAGCTTGGTGCAGAGTGTGTCATCTCCAGGAAAAAGGAAAATATTAGTAGCCATCAGGAGCTAGGTTTGGGATGGAAAAGCACCTTTGTCCTTCTCTGCTGCTCTTAAATGAAAGCAAGTTCAGCAGTTCTCTCACATCATGTTTCAGTGTGTCTGAGTTAAAATAAGACTTTATGTGCGCAAGATGTATATTATCTTGTTTTGCTTTTCTTATTTATTGTTTTTTTGATCTGTAACGGGAACTGTACAGCTTTAAGAAATTGCAGTAGAATCTACCTGAATCCTCTATAGCTATAGTGCTGCCTGCTGGGCTAACTAAGCTGTTCTGAGTGTTTCCTCAGACATACTTTTTGGAGGATCGTGCTATACATTTGTCTTCTTTGACAGCAACGTTTTGTAGGTGAGGTCAGGAGGGCACCTATTCCTCTTTTTTGTGCACCTCTGAGGCTGGATAAAGAGCGCAGCCGTTGGTACTCTGGAGGGAGGATAATGGGAACAGGTTAGGAGGTAATTACAATTTAGGTAGTTTTTAAGCAGTTTGAGCAGTTAGCATATCCCGTGTGTGTCTTAGTGAGAGACCTATCTTTGACGGTTGGGTGCCGTATGAAAATAGGCAGCAGAGAGCACTGTATACCTCTCTCAAGTTAAAATAGTGTGTGTTGAAGGAGACTGTGCTGTAACTGACTCTCTTAGTGCTAGGTAATTTTTCGTTTCCAGGATGCCTTGCATATGTGCAGGCAGAATACTTCAGGTCACTAATTTCTAATCTTCTGGTTGAGCTGTACTGATGCTTATCACTCCTTCTACTTTGGTACCAGGCAGAGTTGCAGCTGAAGAACTGATCTGGAAAACAAGGTGAGAAATGAAAGAAAGACTGAATGCAAAATACTTTCCGGTCATGGTCAGGTGCGTGATAGGCGTGTTAGGCATGTAGGATAGGCAGTTACAGTAATGTGCACCTTAGGCGTTTATTCAGCTATCTGGCTAACATCCACTTTTTTTCTCCTTGTTATTGAACTTTTCATTCAGGGTGGGTGAAAGTTGGTCAGCCCAGTGGTGCTACTGAATTTCTTGTGCAAAAAGGAAACAAATTAGAATAATATATAATTTAAATCAGGGGACACTCAAGCTGATACAATTGTTTTTGTTGTTTACCTGCAGAAACTGGAAAAGTCTGACTTGGATAACTGGGAGAACATCAGAGGACCCCGTCCGTGGGAAGATTCCAAGACTGTTCAGAAGCAACGGCGGGAGGCTGGCCGTCTGAAGACAGAGTGACTGAGCAAGCCTCCTTCGGTGTTTCTGCAAAATCATGTCAGGAACAGACATGGGAGGGGGGAAGAGGAATCTGCACTGAGCAATCCATGCCAATATAAACATAAATTAACTGTGAGATCAATCAGAAAGACACTGTATTTTATGAAGTTCTTTGCATCCATTTGGACAGAGCTCCACAGGTTGTATATATGAATTCTCAATTAAAAAAATAGCTGATTATTCCACTGAAACTATCAGTCTTCCTTTCCCACTGTTTTTCGACAGCTATTGTTCAAAACTAAGATGCCTCAGCAAGGAGTGACATCTCAAGAGTCAGCTTGTCAGTACCACAAGTTGTCACCCTAATGAGAATAACAGTGCTGTCAACTAGATGTGTGTGACCAGATAAATGCTGCTTCAGAGAGCCCCTGCATGACTTCAGGCTCTTAAGCTTAGAAGGGACTCCACAGGGATATGAGCTGTTCAGGAACAGTGAGCCCATTTTTGGCTAAATAATGGTCTGGTGTTTCATTTCCAGGAACTTGCCTATGCACAGGCCTATGCAGAGTGTCAGGCGGTAATTGTTTCAATAACATTTGTTTAGCCATGGTCAGATGTCTGTAATTAGTTTATTGATACCCTGGTGCAGGCAGGGATGTTTGCGGTGGAATTCTCAGTTTGATTTGGAAGAATTCTTCCTCACTAAAAGCTATGCTGTTTCTGTGTGAGCATCTTCTTGACTCTCTGTTTAGTGGCAAAGCTCTCTCTACATATTATTTATATATTATTATAATACGTATTTCTATAAGTATTGTTATGTATATATTTGTACACATGCATAGAGGTTTTTTGCTCTTTGATGGATTCTTCTGTAATCTTTGGCTTTTCATGTCTGGCTTTCTGTGCTAAATCTTTGTTGTTAGAGGAAGCCATGATAACATTCAGTACCGTTCTGCTGAGACAGTCCGTAAAGATACATCTAGCCAGTTCTTCAGATAAAATGAGTCTTTTAACAGGGTGTTTCAACAGTCTCCTAAAACTGCTCTTCTGGGGAATGAAGTAGTAGAGCATAGATTAACAGTAGATGCTAGTTTCAAAGCAGTGACACCTATATGTAAATCGCTTTGGAACTCACAGATATGTGGTCTCACTCCTCTCTACAAGAGATGTGTCACGTGCAAATCTGAATATCCTTTTTGACATTTTATTTAGGGTAGCCTCCTGGTCCTCATGTAAATCATCCCTCAGCACTTACTTTTCTTCAGTCTCTCAGTTATGAGGTCCAGTTCTTTGCTCAGGAAGAGGAATCTTCATTGTTTTTTAGAGAAGTTGTAAAGTAATTCATACAGCATTAAATGAAATATCTTAGCCATATTTGTGCAGGCTTTCTCCTGCTAGGGTTGTGAAGATCATCAGAAAATGTAGTATCTAGTCTGGACTGAGGCTGGAGCTCTGTGTGTGTGTGTGTGTGTGTGTGTGTGTGTGTTTCCCTGTTCAGTGTTATATATATGTTTGGTTCTAAAAAAAAAAAAGCTGACCAGTTCAGACATCTAGGAGAGGAACAAGAGAAGCAATATAGCAGCAATGTAACCATAAATGCTATAATGAAACAATTGAAAAATTAGAATATGGAAGCATTAAGCTGTGCTAGAACTAGAGAAGAGGTGAGTGGGTTTCGTTACTTTATTGTTCCTATGTACCTTGCTAATCATCTTTTCGGTTCTAGCTATTTCAAATTTTGGTGCAGTGCCACTCACTGGCAACAGCGTGATGATTGCTCAAATGACATCAGTGCATTAACTACACTGACAAAGTCTTCTCTGAGTTAGGGCTCTCGCTGATGCTAGTATCACTGCTACTGTTAAGGTACTAGCTGGACCACTGGAGATGTTCCTTTGAATTCGCTAGTATATATCCATTTTGTGTGGATTCGGCAAATTCATTATTCCTTTCCCAAAGGATACACGTGTTCCTTTTCCCAGCATTGATTAAAGGAGAAGGGAAGTTGCCATGACTTTTTATAGGGAAAGGCATGTTTAGTCTTGAAACGGCTCACAATATGGACCAACACTGCTCCTGAAGTAAACACACAGCTTTCTAGGAACAGTGTCTGTGGGCAAATTCACCCCTCTTCCTAGAGGAAGAAGCCAAAATATTTTTACCTGTTTCTCTTTGGTGAAGCCCTGATGCTTATCACTTTTCTTGATGAACAAAACACTCACTGAACTAACTTCTCTATTTTAGCGATTTGATATTCTTCAAAGACTATTTAGGGGATGGTCATCTTATTTCAACAATCTTGGGATGTGGTTGTAAATAATTGGTTCTAGGGAAAACACTTTCCTGTAGCAACTTAGGACTCAGTTTTGCCCTTTGATATTTTTTCATTGCTTGCCTGCTGGTCGTGGGTGTCCCTCCATCCCCCCCCCCCTCTTTTTTTTTTGCATGTGCAAAATCTATGCAGCTGTTAGTAGCTTCCCTTCTAAAACTCAGGCACTAAACTTCCTGTAGTTTCTGAGGGCATATTTGCAACTGCCTTTGAAATGGTGTCTCTGGAAAGGGAGGGAATTATCTATGCATCTCTGAGAAAAACTGACATGCAGTGGAGATCTGTTCCACTTGCACCATCTCTTCAACTGCCCCATGAAGAGATACCCCCGCAATGAGACTATTTATTGACAGTCAGTTGAGAAATTTTCCCACCTTCTTCTTATGCTGTTGACTCAGTTATAATTTAAGAACAGCAACAACTTTTGGCAAGTACAGAGATTATGTACTTCATAAAATGGGGAGAGCTGTTTCAGGAGTTTCTCCTTTTGTCCTGCACTTGGACAACTGCTTAACCTTTCCTGTTGTGCTTTTCTTAGCTGCAAAATTGGAAATATTACTTATGTCTTGAGAGAGTTAATTAAGGTCTTCTTAAGTTCTCATTCATCCCCAAGTAGAAGGCACTTCAGAAGTATGGAGAATTGTTGTTCACGCCACTAGGGAGAGGCAACCTTGAAGTGGCTCAGGACTTGTGCTTAGTTTAACTGCTTATTTGAACTATCCTTTTGAAAGCCCTGTTATAGCACTTCTGATTATTTCTAAGGCACTAGTGGGCAACCTTGTTAAATTCCTGAATTGTCATAAAAAAAAAATCACTATGTGAAATTTAAAAGCAAGCTGGGAAGGTAAGCAGTTTCAATAGTATCAGCCTAAACGCAGTTATGTGGCAACACTGTAAAATCAATGTGGAAGCTCACTGGCAGCCAGCAGAAAGATAAGATAAAAACAGAATGATTGAACAAAGGAAAGCTATTAAGAGCCCCGAGAGAATGTTCTGGATGGTTTGCAGGACCTGTGGCTGGGAGGTCAGAGGTAATGAATTACAATTGTCAGTCTGAGTCACTGACTGATGTTTTTCCGTCCACTTTGGTAAGTGGCATACCAGTCTGAGGGGAAAGGAAACAAGGCTTTAGTGAGAGCTGTGAAGTATTAAAGGGGTAAAGGGAGAGGACTGAAGAAGCCATGCTCTTCAATTCAGTATTGTTGAAATTAAAAATAGAAGACAGAAGGAAGTCTGGCTAGGTGTCTCTGGGCGTAGGGACTAAACAATCAGTTTTAAAATCCCTGTTTTGACAGTGCTAAAGGAAAAAGTGTGTCTTTCAGAGAAGGTATGGAAAGGCTGGTCCTTGGGGTCCTGCATAACAAGAAAATGAGTAGGGCGTAAAAGTGTAGCTGTTTATGTGGGAACCGGGGGCACTTGCCTCCAAGGATGGGGAGAGTTCAGTATACTGCCAGTGGGTTCCCAGCCTCTGCTCTCTGCAGCCCAAAATGGACACCAGCTCCTTGCATGAGATCTGCCCTGTAGATTCTGCTAATTGAGTTTGCTGGTCCTATAGTGCTTTGAATTTTCAGACTCATGAATGACCAAAAGGAGAAAACGCTCCATATCTTAATTCAGCTGTAGCACAGATGAAGAAGGAATTTAAAGCTGTAGCTACTGTGGTCTAAAAAAGGCTTCCAAACCTGCTCAGTAGTTGAGTTTCAAAGCTCCTAAATACAGCTGGATGAGTAGCTTGCCAATAGTGGTCCTCCAAGGTCTTTAAAATGGCTCCAGATACCCCAAAAAGGTAGGTTGCGGCACAGTGAGGGAGGAATGATGAAATTTTTGTCCAGAACAGAGAATGAAGGAACTTTTGAGAAGCTTCTGATATATATCCCATCGTCAGCTGAGGAGCAATCCCACAAAGAGAGGTTTGATAACACTGATGGGCGTGCAGGGATATGTATCCACAATGCTGAGCGCTTAGATCAAGAGAAATCCATTTCTTCACATAGAAGAAGCAATTTGGAGGGGTTTAAATGCCACTGCTCATTTGGATTTTTTGTATGGACACTTCTTGCTGAACTGTATGTACCTGTGTAAAAGTGAGACTTAAATAGCAGATTTCACCTTCTGGAATAATTACACAGTCTCTTGTACTTTTCAGTGGTCTTTCATTTACTCTTGAGTTGCTGCCTTTGAATTACCAGCATAAGTCAACGGCAAATTTCATTTTCATTTCCTGAATTTTCCAGAGGGTTTTATTTCTGTAAGAAACAGGAGAGCCTAAATATCCTTTGCTACTAACTCATTTTTTTTTATGTCCACTGGAAAAAAATCTAAAAGAAAGAGAAAAGAAGGGAATGATCAAAAACCTTAGGAAAGACGTGAAGATGGTCACAGAATTTTCCATTAACATTATTTTTCGAAAGGCCACTTTTTGTCAGTGTTTGCAGTGGAAATTTTGTTGCTGTCCTTCAGTGGGTAAGGTTTGCAAAAAAATGCCACTGTATTTTAAACTAGAAGTTAAGACTCAAAGAAAGGTATTTGCTCAGTGTTAAACCTTCTTTACCTACAAGAGGTTGCAGTCAGACTCACCCAATGCGCAAATAGTCTCTGGACTTAGAAACAAAAATTCCATACAGATGTTTTTCTTAAACTTTTCCTCACCTCAGGAGACCAAAGCAGTCTTTCATACTACTGGAATCAGACCAACCATATTTTCTTGTTGAACATGTACAGTTAAAGTCTTACTTTCCACAGACAGGTAATTAAAGTTTCACGCTTGCCATCTCCATCCTGCCTGGGAGGTGTATTAAAATTAAATTCAACCAAAGCAGCAGCAGTTACTGCTGCAAAAAAGGACATGTAAAATATGGATATACTTTGCAAATATGAGAAGAAAACTACAATATGTGTCATAGTTACAAGTCACTGGAGAAA